ACAAATTAAGTGAGCTTAATCCCCTTAGCATATAGGAACCAATGCCAAACTCTCATGTTTGAGGTTTCAGATCTATTTAATCATTTTGTTCGAACTGCAACACAAGGATTGCAACCTAAGCAGACATCCCGTCAGGCAGATTGCCTGCTCTGGCAGGGTGGAGAGTCATGAGCTTCACAATGACAAAGCAAGAGCTCTAGTCTAGGAATGCCAGTTATTCAAACCTATCTAAATAGGTTGAGTTGAAAAATCACCAGTTAAACATCAGCTAAACACCTGCTTAAAGTTCACCTGTGACTAACATAAAATGATCATACACAGTGAATTTTTTCTAGCCATAGCAGTCGGACAGTGGTACGCAGACCCTATAAAAAGCGAGCTTAGCTGAAGAGGAAATATGACAGATGGGAGAAACTCCCATCGCATGCTTTGTGTTCACTGCACTTGCCCAGAGCGCATCAAAGTTTACTGCCTGGGCTCACAACTCAATACCTAATAATAATATTGGCAACCTTAGAAGATTCTCTTTGGCATACACCGCACTTGAAATTAGACAGCCCACAGCAAACAATTCAGTAACTTAAAAATACAAGACTGAAGAAGTTTTTAGTGGTTTAGTTTTTCACACTCATTTCTTTAAACTTGAATTCCAACACTAAAAGGCTTGGCTGTGGAACATCTCCCAAAGCACAATTTAAAATTCAGCTAGGAAACAAAATTATCATTAGTGGCAAACAGACAAACATGTCATTTCACCCTTCCGTGTAAAAAGCCGTCACAGGAGAGTGACTAAGTGCTCTAAACACACACCTCCCTTGATTGTCTCCAATTTAGCATGCTTAGGCATGCCTGAGCAGCATAACATGAGTGATTGAGCTTAGGATCATCACAGGAAAATGCTTCCTGACATCCCTTCAGATACAGAAATATAAAATCTAATCTTCCTTAGGAAAACCAGATTTGAAAAATCTCAGAAGTGCTCATTTGCATTCTCTCACATCTTTAAATATACGTAATCATTTATTTTGAGACCACATCTTGACAGGCAAGAAGTTTCTGCAGCAGTATTACTCAAAGGAACACCTCTCACACTCTACTTGTTCCTACCATAGCAGGCCCTCCCTGTTCCAACTCAGCTGTTTGTGCACACACACACTTACTTAGTTACTTTGCAAAATGCCAAACCAGATTGCTCATATGCTCTTACAGGACCCTTGAGGCAAAAAATACTGTATACCAGGAATACCAAAAACATATCCAGCATTAAACCATAATCTCAGCTCTTAGGATGCAGTTTCAGTGGTGTCCCAATTTCCTAAGTTTCCCTCTTGCATCATATTTTCATTGAGGAAGTTTCCCAAAGAACTTTACCACCACTAACAACAGTATAAGGTCGATAATGATGCAAATACATTTGAGCTCTACTGAACACAGTGCTTTAAAAGATGACAGCTGACACAATGAGCTCTTTCATCTGCAGCTATTTTTAAAGGTATTCAGATCTGAATTGCAATATTAGAAATAGGCAGAGGCTGCTGACAGAGGTGCACAGAGAAAACAGATACCTGAATTTATAAGCTAATTTTTAATCCTCCAGGAAAATCACAGCTGTACTGCTTATCATTCGTTTAAGTAACGGAGTCAGAAGTAACACTGATTTAATGAAGCATTGCCAACCAAAAGTAATACTTTCACACAAACCAGCTTTAAATGCCCTATACCAATCTTTCCAGGAAACCTTCTAATGCAGCCTGCCAGGTTTAGGCAGTATCCTTTACCCTGCAAGGCAATTTCAGAATTAATCTAATTGACTTTATTGGCTCACATTAGTAAACAGGAAATAGAAGCTGGACTTCTGCCCACTAAACTGCTTTGCAAGAAATTACTGTGTATTATAACCAATATAGCATATAGTCAGAGCTCACCAGTTTGTACTCTAATTTCTAACCATTCTTCAAGACGGTACAAAGGAGACTGCAGAAAATTAAATAAAAGCTACCAATAGACAATTTTATTTCATGTCTGGTATGGTAGCACACACCTTGTGTTACCTTATATTAAAGCTAGAGAACGGGGAAAAAAAAAAAAAGCAACATTTCTGTGGCATACTGCCACTTCCTTCAGTCACAGTAATTTCTCCCTGGAAAGCAAGAGCAGCTAACACAGGCTAAAGAACAAACCATAAACTTTTCGTTCCTATCTTGCTAACTTTAGACTATATTGATAACTTAAACAGGCAAAGAGGAATACTACCATAACACAAAAAATAACTGTGTGTCCATTTTATTTCTTCATTATTTCTCTCCTCGCAATATAGAGGGAGGTCCCAAATGAAGGAAACCATCAAAAGCAATTTTATAAACAGAGTTCAGATCAAACCCTGGTCATCATAATGTGATGGAGTCTCAGAGCAACGTTATGCAGTGCATACTGGGTGCCGATGTCAGGAAAATTGCAAGAATTCTTACTGGTCAAGGACAGCTGCTGGCTAGCTAAAACACACTCACATTTGGACTAACTCAGCAATCAAACCAAGACTTCCTTGTCATTCAAAACACAAACCACATGGCGAGTGCATATTCTCAAGTGTAAGATCTTTACAGACAAATCTCATACAACTGAGAAAACATCTCACTTATATTTCGACCCAGGACAGGTCCTCTCCCCAGGGACACACTTCAGGTTACAGAGATAAGCTATCTTTGAGGAGACGACTGAAAATGGCAAAGCGTATTTCCCAAATTGTAAACTATCCTTGCAGCAAGTGTAAAACCTCCCTGTTTGTCTTTTTGAACCCGCATTTACAGGTAACACTGCTCCTGCTAACATTTCACAAACAGCAAAGCATCAAATCAGCTCTTCCAGCTGCCACACTGCGCTCCCGG